TAATGGATGCAAACATAAATTTCAATAAAGCATATGCTTTTTTTTTTTTAATCAAAATCCCACTTGAATGCAAATTTACTTAATTTTTGTTGATGTACTTTTACATCTTATTATCAAGGTAAATGTGCATTGGTCTGTCATTTGTCAATGCATAAATGTAATATTGCCAAACATAGGCAAAAGTGAACTAGAGTGCAAGTTTACCCCGGGATTTACACTCCATTTGCATCGTTTCCAAATGCAGCCTAAGAAGCTAAATTTGTCAGTGCAAAACTAACCCAATTTTGCAATTTATATAAACTGGTTTACACTCTACATACTTGCATTCACACTTATTTGCATCGTTTCCAAATGCAACCTTAGGTACTTAAAATTTGGCCAAATCAAATTCACTTATCTATGATTAAGAATTAAAACATAATCTCAATAAATACCTATGCTCTTAAAATTTGGCCAGATCAGATTCACTTAAAATTTGATCAATACCTATGTTCTCATTTTTGTATTCTAGTTGTACCCATATATAATCTGAGAAAAAAAAACATAAAAGGAACTTGTTACACTTTGAGAGCCAGATGATTAAGATTTGTCTTGTGAGTCTTTGCTAACAATTACTTGCAGAATGTCAGGCTGCAGGTATACGGTTAAAACCTTGCTAATAGTCCCATCTTAGTAGAGTATTAAGTTAGTTAGCCATTTAAAAGATGGTTAAAACCTTGTGAGTCTTCTTCCATGTTTGGTTGTGACAGAGGTTCTTAAATATCGAGCAATATTGATGCACTTGGAGATAGGAAAATTGGATATGTAAATGGTGATGAACAGACACTGTTAAAGGTGTGTTATTCCATATTATTAATTTACAAAATCATCAGAACTTGTATTTTTTTAGCTTCTAATTTCTTTAAGGCCAATGTTATGGCCAAAAATTAAGCTTTTTCTTCAAATCTTCTTTTTCTTTTTCTTTGGGTGGTTATGTGATTAGTAACAATTACTTGTGAAAGACTTGTTTGGAACTTAGGCTTTTGTATAAAATATGACCTTTCCAAATATACTGTTGGTTTGTTAGTTGCCAACTTGATTAAGATTTATTTAGGAAGTAGGTTATGTAATCAAAACATGTGCTTTACTTTAGTCTTTCTGTGAATCAGATCATGGCCTGGATCTATTTAGTCATATATGGATATCAATAATACATCTATTTGATCAATGGGTTTGAGTCCAGATGCACTCAAATTTATTTGATAGAACCCAGATCTGACAATCTTTATGTAAATTTGCAAGGCAAAGATTAATGAAAGTTTTTTTAGTTCATTTGTTAAGAATTTGTGATGTCTTAATCCAGTTTGGAATTTGATTAGCCGAGTTCAAGTTGGATACTGATATCCTAGATATGTAATTGGTTAGCATAATTATTCTTTATCTGTTCTTGCTGTGTTTTTATTTTCTTGATTTATTATGTTGGGATATTTTGAGGATTTGGTTCTTTGAATGAAGATAAGTAATGATTGTTAAGGAAGTAGAATAATTCAACGAATCATGCCAACATGTTAAAGGATTACGTGAAATTAGAACTATTTGTTATAGAATATCAAAGCTTTTAAGGGCATTACTGAAACCAAACTGTGTATGAAACAATACTTATGGAACTACAAATCTGGAAGAGCTACTACTGTGAGACTAATATCTGTTTGTTATTTGTTGCAGATTTATGGGTCAATGACCGTGCACATCCTTTGTGTAGCAATCTTTTTAGCGGTTGTTTACATAAGGAGCTTAATATGGGACTTCTCTTCTGAAGTATTTATTAGCCGGTTTGTTAGATAATTGAACGGACATTGTTAATTGTTTTATTATCTATCATTTTTTACCATGGTAATTGGTAAGTGCATTTACCCAGATAAATGTGTTTTTAAAAAATGAACGAAACCTTGAACTTATATTGGATTTGATAAAAAATAAGAGAGAAATAAAAAATGTTGAGAGAATGCTCTTGATTGAATTGGGAGAAACTAGAGCTATCAATGGATCGGGTCTGATTTGGGATTATGGGATAGGGTGTATCAGGTCTGGTTGAACTGTTTATTGATCTGGACTATAAAAAAGACCTAGAACTCAACTGGTTATTATCGAGATGATCAAGTTTGACCCGATTAGACCTGATTATATTTGGCATTTATGATTACCAATGATAATAACAGTTTAGAACTTCATAAGTTTCATAATATTTATGATAAAAATATTAAATCATTTATAGAAAAATCTATGATTCGGAAAAGACTTTTATCAATCAAATCTAAACCCCCCTTGCGAATTTTGATGAAACCGACCTGATTCGTAACTGCATTTGTGTTGTCAATTGATTGGTTAAAATTTTCTGGTATCATAGTGATCCTATTTTCTTATATATTGATAAATTAGTGTTTCTAAGCGACATTATCTTACATACTGTTTATGAAATTTACACCTGGACATAAGATATAACAAAAATTAAAAGAAAACAATGAAACCTCTCTCTCTTTCTCTCTCTCTCTCTATATATATTATTAAGTACATAATTGGTTTGAACCAGAATCAATATAATTTGGTTGGACCGGATGGACCCGACTCATTGACAGCACTAAGAGAAAGTTCTCAACTTTCTGCTTATTTCTTATCTTCTATCGAGCCAAACACAGCCTAGATTAGAGTTGGGGCCAGTAGCTCCCTCATTAACTAGGCTCGAACTCAAGTGATGAACTGCTGGCTGGCTGGCTGTTGCCTCATGCGGCTTCCTGCCGGCCAGACCGGATTCATCCCTCCTAAGAAAGCGGGATTGAAAGGTCAATTTGGTAATTCTAGTAAGATGGGGAAGACAGGCGCGCTGGTTGTATATAAAATCAACAATCCCAACGGTCAGCAAGACTGAAAGTCGCCGTTCATTGGAACCTGGCCGACTAATGCGAACCGGCGTGACGATACATTTAATGAACAACAAAAAGAGAGTTCACAGTAGGATACATAGATAGCCATAGCCGGTGATAAATCCCAACCACCACTGTCACAGTCTCTCTCTCTGTCTCTCTTCCTCAGTTTCGAGGTCGTTCTCCCTCTCTCTCTCTCTGATAAGAAGAAGGAGACAGAATCCAACTGGAAGAAAAAAAATGGTGTCTTTCGTTTGACCGTCAACGAGAGGTGTGTACAGGGCACTTGTCTTCCCTCTGAAATTCCATCTTTCGTCTCTATTTTTATGGATTTTTTCGTATCTCGTGTTTGTTTGGAGTTTGGACAAAGTGGGTTTTTCTTTGGTTTCTGTTTTCGCTTCTGGTTTTGTCTCTAATTTAATTTTGCTTTCAGGTTTTAGGGTTTTGGAGGCTTCTGGGTTGAAAAGCGAGAGACGTGGGTCCTGCCTCCTTATTGTGGGGCACTTCAGTCAACCTGAACCTATATTTTTCTCACTTCCTGATAACATATTTTCTCCCTTAATTTTTTTTAGCACTTTATTCTCTACAAACGGCGTACGTGTGGAGAGGAGACTGCTTCAAGTTTCAACAGGCAGGTTTATCTTTCTTTTTATTGATCACTTCTTTTGTGGTCTTGCATTGTCGAGTCTTTTAATCGAATAGATATACTGAAACTCGGTTTTCAGTTTCATTCTAGGCCTTTTTGATCCATAAAGAGTAAACCCTACTGAGGAAACGTAGATCTTCTGACCCAGGACCTCACCAGATTATTCAAACCATTAGGAAGTAGGAACATCATCTGAGAATTATTAGTATTGGAGTTAAGATCCTAACTAAATGGTAGAAACTGGTTTGGAAGGTAAACAATGTAATTGTGGAGTAGAGATTAAACCCATAAGAAGAAAGTAAAAAAAATGAATACAGATTGATCCCAAATTCATCTTCTCCATTCCATTTTTATAGCTTCATCATTGAACCAAGGAGTCCAGATGATCGGAGCAAACGGAAAAAAGAACTGCTTTAGTTCCGCGGCCCTGAATTTCTGATCAGTTAACCTATCCCAGGATCATTTGTATTTCAAGCATGCTTCTACTGTTTTTTTTTTTTTTCCTTTTTAAATGCATACTGGCTTTCAGTTATTAAGTGGTCAACACCTTTCTACTTGGGGAACCTAATGAATCATTTAATCATTCTGAAGTTTGTTTTCATTTAATTTTTTATCGTCAATGTAGTACAGTTTTTTGACTAACTTTCTATTTACTACTCGTTTTATAAAGTTTTTATTTTCATCTGTCGAGTTTTGTTTTATTCTTTTTTCGAAAATCAAAGGTGCCCGTATCAAAGAATTTCATTTTTTAGTGCAAAATGAACACATGCATGCAGGACTGGGTGAGTACCCAACATTTGGCATTTGATGGGTGCCATTATGAGAGAGAGAGAGAGAGAGAGTCTTAGTATATAACTTGGCTATGATCGTTCCGTAGTAGAACCCATGAAGTGGTCTGCATGTGAGCCATGTCTACGGGGTACGGAGATTATAGATAGATCAATTCTTACTACTATTATTTTTTGAATTTTTTGATGTAAAAGAGACAGGTGAAGAGAGAGATTTAGTAAACTTTACGTAGGGATGGCGACTTTTCGGCTAAGAGGGGGTTTACAAATTTGCAGAGAGTGGGAATGCTGGGCTTTGGGGAGTCACTTATTGCAGAGACCGAGAACTACAGTTCCAAGAAACCAATTTGGGTGTGAGAAAAATATAAATTAAAGAGGAAAAACTAAAATTTGTTTTTTCTTGGTTCAACATGCAAACACACAATTAATTTTTTAATCTCTTACGGAGGGGGTCCTATATATTGTATATTTCACTAGTAGATCTCAATTTCATACTCATTGTAAAGCTATCAACTTACAGTGTGATTTATAAGTCTTTCTATGATTATGATCGATCTGAGATGGTTTTTTGAATTTTGAAGGATCATTTTTTCCATTTTGACCTGTTGGATTTTTTCAGTGTGATTAACTAATTTTATCTTTATAAATACTTAGGGACCTCATAACTATAGCTTTAATTTTCTGTCGTACTAGCTCCTTAAAATATTTTTGTAGTTACTATATTTTGTTGATATATTCTATTCACATTACAATATTATAGTTGCAACTAGGTTGATGGTCGACCACCCAAAATGACCAATGGTGGAGGCTCTCCCTAGTTTTCTTAGAGAGAGAGAGATAGAAGATTTTTACTTGAGAGGATCAGTTTATTTGTTCCTCTTCTATCTCCTGCTTAGTGAAAATATTTCTTCTTCTTCTTCTTCCTTACACCAAATGTAGAGAAAACAGACCTTTCTCTCTCTCTCTCTCTCTTCCCCCTTCCTCCACCAATCCTTTTTCCCCTTAAAGCTCGTGGTTCAAGTTGTAAGGGAGAGGGGGAGAGCTGCTAAAAGTGTTACATATTGAAGAATGATGATACTCCATCTTTCTCTGTCCCTCTCACCCCTTTCTGAGCAACATTCATGCATTATTTGGACATGAAAAGCGTAGATAGAGAGTTCTTTTCTGTTATCTTTCTTCACTTTGGTACCTTCTTCCACGGCTAAAAACTTATGGTGTCTCAATCTGTCATGATTTTCCTCAACAAGGTTTTCTCATAATTTCTTGTGATCTATGCAGGAAGATCTTAACACAGTTCCAAGTCTGTTTTGAAAGAACAAATGGGCTCCATGAATTCAAATAGCTGGCTGGCTTTCAATATCTCTCCTACTCCCTCAACCATGCCTACTAATAATCTCCATGCATCTCCATCTCAATTCTCTCTGGGATTGGTAAACGATACAGTGGGTCATTCCTTCCAAATCCAAGGTATTTAAAATTCCCCACATTCTTCTTCCTCTATTCTCTCGTTATCCTTCTGTGACTCTCTTAGGTTTTGCAGAGTGGAATCTGATGAGTTCTCACGGCGGCGAGGAAGTCCCAAAGGTGGCAGATTTTCTTGGTGTCAGCAAACCTGAGAACGAGCTCAACCTTGCTTCGTTTAACCAAATTACGGCAACCCACCCTAATTACCTCTTATCCAACGACAACCTACAGTCGATGCAGAGCTTGGAGGCTCCATCGGCTAATAGTAACGATCCTCGTGGAATTGGTAACAATTTACAGTCATTGACGTTGTCCATGGGAACTGCTAAGGGTACTGAGAGTACTAGTAGCAGTAGTGCTGTTGATGTGACACCCAGAAGATCTATGGATACATTTGGGCAGAGAACATCGATATACCGAGGTGTAACAAGGTACAACCCTGAACCCTCTATTGCTTCTTTGCTTATGCTGCAATTTCTTAACAATCTAATGGCTTTCGGTGTGATTGCAGGCATAGATGGACAGGAAGGTATGAAGCTCATCTGTGGGATAACAGTTGTAGAAGGGAGGGACAATCAAGGAAAGGTCGCCAAGGTAAGACTTCAGTTTCTAGCTCTAGGGTTTTGATCACGGCCGCCAACAAAATATCTTTTTGTTGAGTTACTGACGATTCATTTTATCTCCTATCATTGTGTTCTTGTTGCTCGGATCCCTTTACATCTTTGAAGTCTACTTGGGTGAGTATAGATTACTGATTCCATGCATTAATTTAGTCATTTCTGGTTCCCAGTTTTGCTAAACAAGATCGGCTTTTGAAGATTTGCCTATTTTCCTCCTCATCTTTTTTTTTTTTTTTTTTCCTCTGAGCAGGTGGATATGACAAGGAAGAGAAGGCAGCTAGGGCTTATGATTTGGCTGCACTCAAGTACTGGGGAACATCCACTACAACAAACTTTCCTGTATGTCATGCACATTTGTTGCTTGAGAATGGTGAACTGTAGAAACTTTAATTTGTGCCCACATTAACGTTTTTCTGTTCATGCTGATTGATTCTTGGGGTGTACATGTCTATGACATTTCAGATTAGTAACTATGAAAAGGAATTGGAGGAGATGAAGAATATGACAAGGCAAGAGTTTGTGGCATCTCTTAGAAGGTAATCATCATTAATTAAGTGCAGTTGGAGTTCATGCTCAAGTATATGTTCATCAATCCTTGTTTGTATTCAATTGTTTTTGTCTTGCTTCGCATATAATCTTAGGGTCCAAACATGAGTTACAGTTGAAACCCTAGTGATCATCATATTCGTAATCCTCTCTTAATTCTTCTTCTTGCTTGAACTTTCAGGAAAAGCAGCGGCTTTTCAAGGGGTGCATCCATGTATCGTGGGGTCACAAGGTATTATAGGGAGCATTCTCTCTGGTCCCTTACCTCTCTCCCTTTTTACAAACAGGCATACTGATCTCTCTTTCTCTCTCTCTAGGCATCATCAACATGGAAGATGGCAAGCTCGCATTGGAAGGGTTGCTGGAAACAAAGACCTCTATTTAGGAACTTTCAGTAAGTAGCAACGTAACGTCACAAAGCTAGCTTTTCTGAAATGTGAACTAATATTCCTCTATCTTCTTAATTATATATAGGTACCGAAGAGGAAGCAGCAGAGGCTTATGATATCGCTGCTATCAAGTTCAGAGGGCTGAATGCTGTGACCAACTTCGACATGAACCGTTATGATGTCAAGAGCATTCTCGAAAGCAGCACACTACCTATTGGAAATGGAGCAGCCAAGCGGTTGAAGGAGACTAAAGCGATTGAGTCATCGAGGAACAGAGAGGAAATCAGAACTCGCAGTTCCAGTTTCTACGGCACAAGCTCCAGTAATTTTCAGGGATACCCATTACTGCAACCAATTGAGCAAGCTCAGCCTCAGACTTTACTGGCTTTACAAAACCAGCTGAGTAGTCCTCAATATGGCGGCCATGACTCTCAGTTTCATCAAAATTACCTCCAGTTGCACCAACAACCCACTTCGCTGTTTAATGCTGCTGGTCAAGAGTCTCAGTTTAACCAGAGCTACCTTTCCAGCCATCCTGCTTTTCTTCATGGTATGATGAACATGGGACAACCGACGGCCTTGCCTGTAATGGAGAACAACGGAGGAAGCCTTGCTACCAACTACAATGGAAATGTGGGCACCGGAGTTAGCTACAATGGAGGTGGGTATTTGTGCAACGGGATAATGATGGCACCCAACTCAGCTACTGTGCATGGAGGAGGAATAGGTCCGGAAACCGGCGCCGGGCTGGTTAAGGTTGATTACGATGAGATGAGTTCTGCGGGTTACGGTGGGTGGACGGCAGATTCGGTTCAAAATCCAAATGCTGGTGTTTTTTCAATGTGGGACGACAATTGAGAGTTTATGTTGATGTTTTTGGCTTTTATCATTAAATTGAAAATTTTCTTCTGATGCAATGTTTAATTTGATCAAATATTTGGTATATGGCCAACAAAAGAGATGAGATATGGTTCATTTTTCTGACTTCATTTTCAAATTTGCTACAATAATTTTTTTATACATAATCTACAGAGCCTCATTTTCTGGAGTGATCCAAATCTTCTTGGAAACTGATCAAGATCCACTGTATGTTCCTACCAACTCAGATTAGTTTACTCTTGACTGAATTGATACTCATCTATGGGTGTTTTTGTCTTTTAGAGAGAGAGAGAGATGATATGATATAGAGAATTTTGGTTCATGTTGTTGGGCCATTCTTGTGCCTTATATAGAAATCTACAGCAATGCGTCTTGGCCCATCCTGGCCTATTTAATATTGTAGAGCCTATTATAGCCCAAGCCCACAAATACAGCAAAACCAATATATTTATTGTTAAAAAATAAAAAAAAACCCGGCTTGGGACCGGTTTGCTTGGAAACTACACCGGTTCATGGTTGGCCGTCTACCCCCTTTTCACAGGACGAAAGTGAACTAAAGTAAATGATTGGGGGGTGGGGAGGTGGGAAAGGCAACCCCCAACCAATGGCAATATAGGCTTTAAGGCCCAAGCCAGATCACAAAAGCCTGTCCGTCGTCCATTTCTCCTTTCTCCAATTATCCAAACCATCTCTTTTTCTTTCTTACGTAATTGTGCTCTCCTTTCTCCAATTATCCATCCATTCATGACTCACCCGAGTCAAGGAGTTAACCCACCAGGTTTCTTTGAATGACGAGTTCACCAACAAAAGCACCACCACCGAGTAGGCCAGTACCCAAAAAAACCAAAAGCCGACGCGGTGGAGAGTGGAGACCAGCATTTTCTTTTATACTCACACGGTCACACCCAACCAAACTAACCTACCAAATCAGTGCCACGTATTCGACGACCCACCACAACATGTTTATTAGGGAAAAGGCAGCCATATGCCTAATCACACGTCAAGCCAAGAAACATTATACCTACTTGTTTATGCTACGACTACGGGCGTCGACGCATCTATTGGCTATTTAAGGCCCATTCTGAATGGGCCCCCACCAACTCATCCATCACACATGCTTTTGTTTAGTGCGTTGTTTTCTGCGCGTAAGCCATGCGCGCGTTGTTTTTATATGCTTGTCCGATGCTTATATCCTTTCGCTTCGACGGACGCGTCAGCTAGGCTCGGCTCTACATCCCCAGCCCCACGATGTTGTCAGAGAATTTGCCGACATAACGCAGCCAACAAGGCGGAATGCAATGCATCATATTATGCCCCCTTTAACCTTTATCATTCGGCTTAGCTCACGTTACGCTTAGTAAGACCTTACGCTACCGGTGGGACCCGCTATGTCAGTGGTCGCGACGATTATGAACCTGCCTCGCACGGATGATTGGAATCGCGGTGGATCATGAGGCGATGAATTTATGAGACTGGTGCGGTGGGACCCAATCGATCTGGTGGAGCCCACCAGCACGTTGCAACTTGCGAATGCGTCAGATGGGGGGGGGGTCTTCAGTCCTGTCCAGATAACTTTGAAAAAGTGGAAGTCGTATCAGCCGCGGAAGGAGTTGGAGTTGCTGCTGGGGCGATGACTCTTCCGCCTTGGCAGCGAGTACCTGGGTAATGGGACATCCGCGTGCCACGTGTACAAATGGCATCGTCCCACGTGTACGGCATGGCTGGGGATGAGAGCGACCCCCACACCACACCCCCCGTGAAAGAGAAAGAGGCGGTCAGCCTGGGCGGCTAAAAGCCAGAGGGGAGAAAACGAAGATACCATCAAATCAAAGTTACAATTCCATATTTACCCCTCATGTTTTTTGTTCAACAGTGTAGGTACGTCAGCCCTGAACTAAACTAATTCCTTGGCACCGAGGGGACCCACTCGAACTCGATAGCTGATCCATCAATCAAATCGGATGGTGGCCATCGTCGTGCCAACCTCTACGATGCTCCCGTGGATGACGCTGCATCGTCCAATTACTTTTAACGGAGAAACAAGTCACAACACATCAGAGTGTCAGAGGAGATCCAGAAGGAGCAGAACGCAGACATTATGATGTAAAATCAAAAGAAAAGGGAGTAGGGGTATTATAGTAAAAGCAATAAAGGAAACGTCTGATGCGCGTTCCAAAGAGGGCCCAGGCCCATATGGCATTACCATTACCCATCCTCGAATCGCCGCCTTAAAGGAGCCCTCCGCTCTCCCATTTCTGCCCCAAATTTCTTTCGTCGTTCAACCCAAAAGAACGAACGAACGAACGAACGAACGAACCCATCACCACCACAGCCCCCTCTCACCCGCGCGATTCTCTTTTTCCCTCTTCGAACGGACGCAGATCGGAATCGGAAAGAAGAGAAATGGCTCAACGAGAGAAAGAAGAGACCGAATTCAAGGTCCCCGAAACCCTAACCCTCTGCATCAACAATTGCGGGTTCCCCGGCAACCCTACCACCAACAACATGTGCCAGAACTGCTTCAAGGCCTCCGCGGGAGTCCTCACTCCTCTCAAGTTCTCCGGCAAGGACAAGCCCAGATCCAGCTCCGTCCGGTCTCCGGAGAGATCGGATCGTCCAGCGGAGCCGGAGATTCTTAGGGAGGTAACCAAGCGTGACACGACGGCAGCTGCTGAGGTGACAAGCTCGGTCGTGAGGCGGGAGGTGAACCGGTGCTCGGGTTGTCGGAGGAAGGTGGGATTGACCGGCTTCAGGTGCCGCTGCGGGGATCTGTTCTGTTCGGAGCACAGGTATTCAGACCGGCACGAGTGCAGTTACGATTACAAGGCTGCGGGTCGGGAGGCGATATCGCGGGAAAATCCGGTGGTTAAAGCTGCCAAGATCGTTAAAATCTGAGAATAATACACGGAGAAACGAAATGACTGTGTTTCGTGAAGATTAAAGAAAAGAGACGATGTGGAGAGATGGATGCTCGATCCGGTGATCACTTTCTGATGCCACTCTCGATCGATTAATTGAGAGAGTGGGAGAGGGATTTGTTAGATTGTGAACAAAACTATAATGAAATTCTCTCTGGTTTACCTTGTTCTTTTTAATCAAATTTTATTTCTTCCCTCTTCTTTGTGTGAAAATTTCTGGTGCTGTACTTTAATTTTTTTTCTCTTTATTTTTCTTAATTTCTGGAAATGAAAACGAAATGGTAAAGCGTTGACAAATATTGATGGCATGATTCTAGAAATTTGGGATTGGGGAGAGGGTAATCTCGTCATTACGGGCAAGGTTTTCTGTTTTCTGGAACTGCCACGTGTGGATAAGGAGAACCGACTAATTTTATGACTTTTTATTAGAGTACGTTCTTTCTCGCTAAACTCCAACTGCCCACTAAAGTCGATGACTCGATGTTCCGTGTTCGTCAGACTGAGTCACCGGTCCACCTCGTATCTCGTGAGTCACTTGGTCCACCACCTCGACAACCGAACCGAGTGACCCGAGCCAAAGCAAAGTGAGGATTTTGATTCGATGTGGGGGGTCTAAGAGAGGATGTAGCGTGCGAAGATAGGATCATAGGATGGAGAGGATTCAAACCGTCTAAGAAATAATCGATCACTTGACTCTGGTTTGCCACGTTCCACTTCTAGTCCACGTCACTCAAAGGCATCCAAAAGAATTTGCTTACCTTGACACGTGGCAAGGGTCTTTGTTACATGTATCTGTCTAAACAAAGAAGGGTAGGAATGGCATCCTTTTCTATGACCTCAAATGGCCCAACTAGGAGGGGTATCTATCTTTATTAAGGTTTAAATAAAGAATAGAGGGATGTGGGCCATGTAGCATTCGTTGGATGGATCCTGATGGAAAAGCCCATGGATACGGCCTTGAAAACAACCATTTTGGATTCTTTGTACGAAAACGATGGAATGCGATGAAATCTTCTAATGCAGAGGGTAATTTCTGGGGCCTACTGGCCCATTAATTCAGGGGTTTAACCCACGTCTGCCGTGAAGAAAGAGGAGGCTTTTTGTCATTTTACCATAAAAAAATAAAACGTGTTCTATCTTCTTCATGGAAGATATCAAGTTGCTTCGAAAATAGGTGTAATTTGTTTCAATTTTCAAATTTACCTTTGAATAAGAGAAATGAAAGTGAGGAGTCTTGGGGCTGTTTCCTAAAGCCCTTTGGGAGAGCATGACTGAGCTGCTTTATAGAAGCTATTACTAAGATTTATTTGGAAAGTCATTTTTTTGGTTCATATAAGCCCATCTTCAGCTTAGTGGTTATTTATTTATTTATCATGGCTTCGCGATTTTCCGGCTTAGCAGTTCATTAATGTTAAAAGCTGCTGCGCAAAAGCCACCCAAAAAGGCACATAACAACTGAAATGATTGAATTGAAAAGCTTATTGGTTTGTTGTTTAGTGAATAAGTAAAGATTGAATTGAAAAGCTTATTGATTTGTTGTTTAGTGAATAAGTCTCTGAATGGTTAACAATTATTAGGGGTGTCAATTGGACTGGTTTGGTGCAATCCGATCCAGTCTAATGTGAATCCGTTATATATGGACTAGGTTCAATCCAATCCAATGAATATTTTGGACTATTTTGGGATTCAATTCAATGTTTGGACTGTCCAGTCTGTTCAAATTTGTTTTGATATAGATTGGTTTCAATCTTATTTTATATCAATAGATCAGATATTGGTTTAATCCAACTCAATCCAATATAAATTTATTACAGATGGAGCAGGTTCAATCCAATCTAATAAAAATTTTAGACCGAATTGATCCAATCCAATGTCTTGTTGGTCTGTCCAATCCATCTAAATTGATTTTAGACTGGATGGGGTCCAATTCAAAACCAATCCATTGACACCCTTAACAATTACCAACCTTAATTTTGGAAATTAAGGACAAAGCATTAAGTCATCCACTTCAGCAATTTCAGCCATTACCAATGGCCCCATAATTGACAAAAATTAAATTTCGGCATATCATATTTTTGATGAAGGGGTACATCCTTAGTGAGAAGACAAAGGAAAGTTAAAATAGAAATCAAAAGATAGGGACTGTATGGATCTCAATACGCCAGTAAAGCGATAGAAAAGGAACACAGCGGGGATGTTCTGTGGGACATTGTGAGGCACAGATCTGAACTCCATCAAGCAATCGGCAACAACGGAATAGGGTGCATGTGAAGTCCATAACTCTTACCATAAAAACATTACACAGTTATATGGGTTTGATCCCACGGCTCCATTTTCGAAAGTAAACCGAGTGACCATCTCAACTACTGGGTCATAAGCTGTTTTTAACTTAATGGTTAAGCCAAAAACAGCTTTGATATGTGTCCCCACTCCCCAGCAACCCGTCCTTCAACAATGTAGCATGGGCCACCTGAAAGAAAACAACAAATTCCCATTGGGTGAACATGATTTTCTTAATGGAAGCCTCTCGTTTGAATTCTCATGTGGTTTTGTCCAAGGAAAGCTGCTCCATTTAAGGGCATGGATTATTTGAACCAGATTTGAGAATCAAATAAAGCCAATAAAATAACTCATAGAAGACTTTTTTTTTTTTTGTAACCAACACGTCACATTTTGAAATCTTCTTTTGTTCCATTCTTTTCAGATTTCTCAGACGATGAGAATACGATGAAACCCTACAACTAAGATCATATATTCTATGAGACCTTAAAGAAAAAGGGGTTCATTAGTGGAGCAATATAGTCACTGCCTTTGTAATAGAAAAAGGAGTTTTTGTGGGAGGGGAACCAAAAAACCAATAACATCTGGAGCAGCTCCATGGCTTAGTTGTCAAAGCTTGGCTGGGCCTGTGTTTAAGCAGAAAGTTGGTGCTAAAGGGAGAAGGTGGTCCTATTTTGGCCCACGCACAGGCATTTATCATGAATTCATGAGTGAGATGAATTCCTTTCGGACAAAAGCTCTTTTTCTACTATTTGGGCCGGTTTGGGTGGGTTGAAGCTTTAATTTTACTGCTTTCACTTAGCCGCTTTGAGGAAACTACTTAAGGAAGCTTCGGCGAAATGCCACTTTTTCACTGAACCACGGCATAGTTGGGCTTTCCGGATTTTCCACCAAACATCGCTTATAAATTGTCTCACTAGTCCAATTCAATGTCTTATTGATCCATCCAATCCATCCAAATCAATTTTGATTTGGACGGGGTCCAACCCTAAACCGGTCCATTGACACCCCTACATGTAATGACAGTTGCAGTTCCACATATACTTTTAGAGCTCAGATAGACTTGCATCAGCCCCAATGAATTCAGATTCCTTGTTTAATTAAGATGTATGGCGATAATTTATTATCTTTTTTTTTATTGCACTTTTTGTAATTTATGAAATGGAAGGTCTATTTGTATAGTTTTTTTAGAGGGTAGGATTTTGTTATGGTTACACCATCCGGCAGCGCACTGCGGCACAGTCATAGGCAGCAGCACGTACAACAGATCGCACAGCAGCGCGCACCGCACGGCAGCATGCCCATGCACAGGCCCGGCACCGCACGGTAGCACGCACTGCCAATAGCGTGTAGCACGCACCGCCAGGCAGTAGCACGCACCGCACGGCAGCATGCCCGCGCATAGGCCCGACACCGCACGACAGTGGCATCAGGGTGCGCAGCACGCACCGCCAGGCAGCAGCGCGCATCGCACACACTACACGGCAGCACGCACCGCGCACACACCCGACACCGCACGACAGCAGCACCATGAGCCGCGCGCACGCACTGCGTGGCAGCAGCACTGCGTGCACGCATCACGCGGTAGCGGCACCGTGAGCCGCGCGCACGCACTGCGTGGCAGCAGCACTGTGCGCACGCACCGCGCGGTAGCGGCACCACGAGCCGCGCGCACGCACACGGTAGTAGCAGCAGAGCGGGGCCCACATGATAGCTCATAAGGGTGGGCCCACCCTTATCTGGACACGTCAAGCCAACTCGCCGCCAGCTTATCATATCCCTTATCTTTATCTTATCTTAAGTAAGAGTTACCATTAGGAGTTGGTAATTAGGAGTTTGAGTTTAATTAAGAATTTCCTTTTGTAATCTCCTATTTAAGGAGCTACGAATTGAAATAAAGGAATCAGTTTTTCGCAGTCAAGAAAGAGAGTGAGGAGAGTTTGGGTGATCTCTTGGACAAATCACCCATTAGGAGAGTTCGGGTGGTCTCTTGGACAAATCACCCACGAGATAGTCAAAATAGGGCCTGTACGCAAGGCCAAGGGCAAGGAAAGATCTAAGGTTCCTGCGGTGGAGCGACCCGGGACGCGATCCTACGCTCGGGGCCATAACAGGTTTTTACGTCCCCACTCCTATACAATTCTTTTTTGGATATTAATAAAAATTTTTGATGTCCCCACTCCTATGGAACTGTGAATGACATAATCTGAAACAAGTTTAAGAAAGAAGTAGTCTATTCTAAATGGCTCTCTATGAAAGTATAAATTTATGATTTGTCATTAAATTTTTTAAATACAGTATCAATAAAATTTTCCAGGAATGGGGAATGGTGTATGATGAGGGCATATTTGGCCCTCTAGTGAAATTGTGACACGTGGCACCTTGTGACAACGAGGCGACACCCAGGCAACAACTTACTAAGTCCGTGTCCCGCCGGGGAACCGACCTGGCCGGCCTAGCGCGGCCTGCGCGACCTGGCCGACCTGGATCAGCCTGACACCTGATCCGACCTGGCCGACCTGGCAACCCATAAGATGCCCACCGATGAACCATAACGGCATACCCCGCGAGCTCGGTAGCTCACCAAAGAGCTCGCCAAGGAGCTAGACACCTCTCCAAGGAGCTCGCCACCAAGGAACTAGGCAGCTCGGCAAAGCTCGCCACAAGCAGCTTGGCATAGCCCAAGGAGCTCAGCATAGCTCCCCCGGGCAGCTCGCCACTTGTAGGGTAGCTCGGTACAGAAGAGTAGTTTGGCGTATCGCAAGAAGATCTCCTGCCTGACAACTGGCGCAGAAACCGACCCGCCGACTGACACAGGCGCCGACTTGACAACCTGGCCCAGACACCGACCCGCCGAGTAACACTGGCGCCGACCTGGCCGCCTGGCACAAGCGCCAGCATGACAACCTCAAGGAGTTCACCACCGTACCCCGGTTCTGACGGGATACGACGAGTCTTACTGTTTGAAGGCTTTTCACCCACCTAACCCGCGAGG